TTCATATTATATTACATGTCAATCATTTGTACCTAGACTATATAATCATTTGTATCTTGTTATTTTTATTAGTCACGCTAGTTCATTTAGTTCATATTATATTACATGTCAATCATTTGTACCTAGACTATATAATCATTTGTATCTTGTTATTTTTATTAGTCACGCTAGTTCATTTAGTTCATATTATATTACATGTCAATCATTTGTACCTAGACTATATAATCATTTGTATCTTGTTATTTTTATTAGTCACGCTAGTTCATTTAGTTCATATTATATTACATGTCAATCATTTGTACCTAGACTATATAATCATTTGTATCTTGTTATTTTTATTAGTCACGCTAGTTCATTTAGTTCATATTATATTACATGTCAATCATTTGTACCTAGACTATATAATCATTTGTATCTTGTTATTTTTATTAGTCACGCTAGTTCATTTAGTTCATATTATATTACATGTCAATCATTTGTACCTAGACTATATAATCATTTGTATCTTGTTATTTTTATTAGTCACGCTAGTTCATTTAGTTCATATTATATTACATGTCAATCATTTGTACCTAGACTATATAATCATTTGTATCTTGTTATTTTTATTAGTCACGCTAGTTCATTTAGTTCATATTATATTACATGTCAATCATTTGTACCTAGACTATATAATCATTTGTATCTTGTTATTTTTATTAGTCACGCTAGTTCATTTAGTTCATATTATATTACATGTCAATCATTTGTACCTAGACTATATAATCATTTGTATCTTGTTATTTTTATTAGTCACGCTAGTTCATTTAGTTCATATTATATTACATGTCAATCATTTGTACCTAGACTATATAATCATTTGTATCTTGTTATTTTTATTAGTCACGCTAGTTCATTTAGTTCATATTATATTACATGTCAATCATTTGTACCTAGACTATATAATCATTTGTATCTTGTTATTTTTATTAGTCACGCTAGTTCATTTAGTTCATATTATATTACATGTCAATCATTTGTACCTAGACTATATAATCATTTGTATCTTGTTATTTTTATTAGTCACGCTAGTTCATTTAGTTCATATTATATTACATGTCAATCATTTGTACCTAGACTATATAATCATTTGTATCTTGTTATTTTTATTAGTCACGCTAGTTCATTTAGTTCATATTATATTACATGTCAATCATTTGTACCTAGACTATATAATCATTTGTATCTTGTTATTTTTATTAGTCACGCTAGTTCATTTAGTTCATATTATATTACATGTCAATCATTTGTACCTAGACTATATAATCATTTGTATCTTGTTATTTTTATTAGTCACGCTAGTTCATTTAGTTCATATTATATTACATGTCAATCATTTGTACCTAGACTATATAATCATTTGTATCTTGTTATTTTTATTAGTCACGCTAGTTCATTTAGTTCATATTATATTACATGTCAATCATTTGTACCTAGACTATATAATCATTTGTATCTTGTTATTTTTATTAGTCACGCTAGTTCATTTAGTTCATATTATATTACATGTCAATCATTTGTACCTAGACTATATAATCATTTGTATCTTGTTATTTTTATTAGTCACGCTAGTTCATTTAGTTCATATTATATTACATGTCAATCATTTGTACCTAGACTATATAATCATTTGTATCTTGTTATTTTTATTAGTCACGCTAGTTCATTTAGTTCATATTATATTACATGTCAATCATTTGTACCTAGACTATATAATCATTTGTATCTTGTTATTTTTATTAGTCACGCTAGTTCATTTAGTTCATATTATATTACATGTCAATCATTTGTACCTAGACTATATAATCATTTGTATCTTGTTATTTTTATTAGTCACGCTAGTTCATTTAGTTCATATTATATTACATGTCAATCATTTGTACCTAGACTATATAATCATTTGTATCTTGTTATTTTTATTAGTCACGCTAGTTCATTTAGTTCATATTATATTACATGTCAATCATTTGTACCTAGACTATATAATCATTTGTATCTTGTTATTTTTATTAGTCACGCTAGTTCATTTAGTTCATATTATATTACATGTCAATCATTTGTACCTAGACTATATAATCATTTGTATCTTGTTATTTTTATTAGTCACGCTAGTTCATTTAGTTCATATTATATTACATGTCAATCATTTGTACCTAGACTATATAATCATTTGTATCTTGTTATTTTTATTAGTCACGCTAGTTCATTTAGTTCATATTATATTACATGTCAATCATTTGTACCTAGACTATATAATCATTTGTATCTTGTTATTTTTATTAGTCACGCTAGTTCATTTAGTTCATATTATATTACATGTCAATCATTTGTACCTAGACTATATAATCATTTGTATCTTGTTATTTTTATTAGTCACGCTAGTTCATTTAGTTCATATTATATTACATGTCAATCATTTGTACCTAGACTATATAATCATTTGTATCTTGTTATTTTTATTAGTCACGCTAGTTCATTTAGTTCATATTATATTACATGTCAATCATTTGTACCTAGACTATATAATCATTTGTATCTTGTTATTTTTATTAGTCACGCTAGTTCATTTAGTTCATATTATATTACATGTCAATCATTTGTACCTAGACTATATAATCATTTGTATCTTGTTATTTTTATTAGTCACGCTAGTTCATTTAGTTCATATTATATTACATGTCAATCATTTGTACCTAGACTATATAATCATTTGTATCTTGTTATTTTTATTAGTCACGCTAGTTCATTTAGTTCATATTATATTACATGTCAATCATTTGTACCTAGACTATATAATCATTTGTATCTTGTTATTTTTATTAGTCACGCTAGTTCATTTAGTTCATATTATATTACATGTCAATCATTTGTACCTAGACTATATAATCATTTGTATCTTGTTATTTTTATTAGTCACGCTAGTTCATTTAGTTCATATTATATTACATGTCAATCATTTGTACCTAGACTATATAATCATTTGTATCTTGTTATTTTTATTAGTCACGCTAGTTCATTTAGTTCATATTATATTACATGTCAATCATTTGTACCTAGACTATATAATCATTTGTATCTTGTTATTTTTATTAGTCACGCTAGTTCATTTAGTTCATATTATATTACATGTCAATCATTTGTACCTAGACTATATAATCATTTGTATCTTGTTATTTTTATTAGTCACGCTAGTTCATTTAGTTCATATTATATTACATGTCAATCATTTGTACCTAGACTATATAATCATTTGTATCTTGTTATTTTTATTAGTCACGCTAGTTCATTTAGTTCATATTATATTACATGTCAATCATTTGTACCTAGACTATATAATCATTTGTATCTTGTTATTTTTATTAGTCACGCTAGTTCATTTAGTTCATATTATATTACATGTCAATCATTTGTACCTAGACTATATAATCATTTGTATCTTGTTATTTTTATTAGTCACGCTAGTTCATTTAGTTCATATTATATTACATGTCAATCATTTGTACCTAGACTATATAATCATTTGTATCTTGTTATTTTTATTAGTCACGCTAGTTCATTTAGTTCATATTATATTACATGTCAATCATTTGTACCTAGACTATATAATCATTTGTATCTTGTTATTTTTATTAGTCACGCTAGTTCATTTAGTTCATATTATATTACATGTCAATCATTTGTACCTAGACTATATAATCATTTGTATCTTGTTATTTTTATTAGTCACGCTAGTTCATTTAGTTCATATTATATTACATGTCAATCATTTGTACCTAGACTATATAATCATTTGTATCTTGTTATTTTTATTAGTCACGCTAGTTCATTTAGTTCATATTATATTACATGTCAATCATTTGTACCTAGACTATATAATCATTTGTATCTTGTTATTTTTATTAGTCACGCTAGTTCATTTAGTTCATATTATATTACATGTCAATCATTTGTACCTAGACTATATAATCATTTGTATCTTGTTATTTTTATTAGTCACGCTAGTTCATTTAGTTCATATTATATTACATGTCAATCATTTGTACCTAGACTATATAATCATTTGTATCTTGTTATTTTTATTAGTCACGCTAGTTCATTTAGTTCATATTATATTACATGTCAATCATTTGTACCTAGACTATATAATCATTTGTATCTTGTTATTTTTATTAGTCACGCTAGTTCATTTAGTTCATATTATATTACATGTCAATCATTTGTACCTAGACTATATAATCATTTGTATCTTGTTATTTTTATTAGTCACGCTAGTTCATTTAGTTCATATTATATTACATGTCAATCATTTGTACCTAGACTATATAATCATTTGTATCTTGTTATTTTTATTAGTCACGCTAGTTCATTTAGTTCATATTATATTACATGTCAATCATTTGTACCTAGACTATATAATCATTTGTATCTTGTTATTTTTATTAGTCACGCTAGTTCATTTAGTTCATATTATATTACATGTCAATCATTTGTACCTAGACTATATAATCATTTGTATCTTGTTATTTTTATTAGTCACGCTAGTTCATTTAGTTCATATTATATTACATGTCAATCATTTGTACCTAGACTATATAATCATTTGTATCTTGTTATTTTTATTAGTCACGCTAGTTCATTTAGTTCATATTATATTACATGTCAATCATTTGTACCTAGACTATATAATCATTTGTATCTTGTTATTTTTATTAGTCACGCTAGTTCATTTAGTTCATATTATATTACATGTCAATCATTTGTACCTAGACTATATAATCATTTGTAACGACTTTTATTCTCATTCTTCTGAGGATGGCATAATGTAATGCTGAAACATGTTAAGATTAAAAAAGTATATCGTATTTTTTAAAGTTTCATTGTATTTGAAGACTAAGCGATCTCCTAAAGCCCTGGCTCGACCTCCATCAGATACTAACAGAGCCTCTTGTGGTTGCTTTGTCTCAATTAACATGGTTGTGAAAAGCTTGTAGGTGTAAGTGAATYGTTCAAAAATGGATACTTTGAAATGATCCCGTTGATGAAGATGTTGAAACAAAATGTCAAAGCAGCTGAGTGCTTTTCTGAAGTATTTTTCTGCTTTGGTTATGCCATCATCAGTATCATAATGATACTCATATTGTATTGTACCTAAGAGAGACCATGTTTTACTCTCAAGATCCTTGTTGCCTATAACAGAAGCAATACTAATGCATTCCTCTAACGATGTACTTGCAGACTCAACATCATTTATTTTCAATTTCATTTCAGTCATATTRAAAAGGAGAGTCGATTCTAGACCTTTGTTGTTTAATCCTTTTGTAAGGGCAAGACCCTTGTTATAAAGCTCATTTGCCTCTTCAAACCGCTCTAATTTTTCAAGGCAAGCACCAAAGTTTGAAATGGTTGCTGCCTGCATTTGTTYATTAYCAACCTCTATAGCAGTCTTGAAACATTTTTCAAAATAAATAACAGCTTCTTGGTAGTTTTCCAAACTACTCAGGATGCATGCTATATTGCAATAACACAATGCYAGGCAACCTTTGCGAGTGATTTCTTTGATAATGTCCAGACTTTTGTGGTATAAATTGGTTGCCTTATCAATATCATTCAATTTTGCATATAATAGACCTAAGTCAAGTAAGGCAAAGGCTTCATTATTCTTGTCCTCTAAAGCAACACTAATCCTTAGACTTTCCTCAAAGATACAAATTGCATCATGGTAATTTCCCTGGTTGTGGTATGACTTTCCCATATTACCATAACATTTCCCTAACATTCTCACATCATTCAGATTTTTAAACAAATGTATAGCTTTTTCAAAGCACTTAATGCTACGTGTATCATCCGAAAGGCCTACGTAGGTTGATCCAAGGTGAAAGTAGGACATYGCTAAAAGTCTTATGTSATCAATTCTTAATGCAGCAACAAAGCCTTGTTTCATATACTTCAGACTTTGCTCGTAATCTCCCAGTTCGCTGCAAGCTWCTCCAATACCATGACAAATCTCACACTCTAGTTTCTTTTCACCAATCTCTTGAGCTATTTCCAATCCCTTCTCATAATAATCAACAGCTTCTCGATAACTTTCAATTGAAAAGTAAGCATTGCCCAGTCGCTCAAGTGTATTGGCTTTTTCCTTTTTACAGCCTTTGTTTTGGGCAATCACTAGGGCTTTTTTGAATTGTTTTATTGCATTTTTAGTGTCACCAGCTTGCTGCTTTGATTTACCAATAGATATTGCTTTGGACCATTTCATGGTGGCACTCAATTCAAAGTGGGCTTCCTGTGTTTCAAAATGTTTAAGACATGATTTGATGATTTCAGAACATTTAAAGAACAGAATAAGTTTAGAATACACATGCAAATTTAAGGTTAAACGTTAAATCTTAAAATCAACAGTATCAACATAATCCATGATAAATGTTACAGTACATGTACAGTACATGTACATAGTGGTCTCCTTCACAGCACACCCAGAAGCTGATACCCCTCTTTAGGCTGTGAAGGAGGCTTTACAATATAAATAACCAAATTCATTCYACAACATAAAAARTTATTATTTAACATCTTATTCGTTTGCAGTCGCAAATTCAACAAAAACGTTGACTTCTACATGTAATCCTAATTTTGGGCTATCTGAGGTCTGGGCAAAAATGGCGCTCAAAGTTATGAGATTTAAAAAATAAAAACATTCGGATTTGGATTCCAGAACAAAGATTATAAAGTTATGCTTCTAAACTGCAGAATCAAAACGTCTGATGTCATGTGTAAGGAGTTGTAATTAAGCTTAAGCTTATAAGCGATCGGGCAGGGATGAATGCTATTCAAGATGTCGATAAGACATCATTCACAAAATAAGTATTTTAACATGGATGAGTTAAAGGAAAATTTGCCCATTCACTTACCTGATTTGATAGAATATTAGTGATATATTGCTGCAGGTCCAAGTGAGCTACAAAAACTGTTAAGTAAACGAAAAGTAAACATCTACCGCCGACAGTCTCTACTCGCTAGCTACATTCAAATAAACCGCGGTATTAGTCCGGGAGAGACTGAAGCGAGTTGAATGGTGAGGGACTGAGTACTAGTAGAACTCACATGGAAAAATGGCGGCGTTCTGTTGAGAGATTTTGACGTTCAAACAACTCATAAATTGTCGACAACGGAATCACAATTTGATTAGTTTTAAGGCTCTCAAAGCCTTTTATTACATATATAATTTATAGATAAACTTTTTAGAGACTGAAAATGAAGATTACAGCCGATTTGATTCTTCAATGCTCTCAGTACACGAATGCCGTGAAAGACAGAGAGCTAGACTTGCGAGGTAAAACGTTGAACATGTCTTGATTTTGAGAGTTTTAAAGTGTGAGGTAGCTGTAATAGATAGAGTGTTTAATTCTACGTCCAGGAGTTTCATAATTTTGGTGGAAATAGTTCTGTTTTTACTAATTATAGCGTAATAAATGTTGTGTTTGATTTACATGTAGGTTACAAGATTTCTGTTATTGAGAACATGGGCGCAACTCTGGTAAGAACCTTTGATTTTCTAACTCTTTACAATCGTCATGCTATTGTAAACCATGGATAATGACATTAAAATATCATTAATGTAATTTGGAAAGGGAATACCGAATTACAGTACCTAAATGGCCTCAGAAAGTTGAAGGTGAWTAAAAGATCAGAGTTTGTAAAACTGATTTTTTTTGTGTGTGTTTGTTTCGTAGGACCAGTTTGATACCATAGATCTATCTGATAATGATATTCGTAAGATAGAAGGTTTTCCTTTGCTGAAAAGATTAAAATGTTTGATATTCAACAACAATAGAATATGGTGAGTTTCTGAAGTATCAAGAACAACAGCATTTWGATCAATTTCATGTTAATAGTTCTCATTATGCTAACATGTTGATAATGATAATTATTAATGATGTGRCCTTGAAAATGTTATGAAGAACAAAGCGAACAACATCAGGCAACCACAAATGTTTAGATACT